TTCTTACACCTTAACTTTGCAGCTGGTTTTAACTTTTTTTTAATTAGTTTTTTTTGTAAATGTTTAAAATAATGTGCCTGCAAATTTTGATGAAGCAGGAATTTCAACCAGGAGAAGATCTTATGAGGAACTTCATACAGCTCTACTCCTATTATGGGCTTATGCATGTGCTGTGTGCTGTACCATAATATTAACAATATATTGCTGGAATTAGATCTCCCAGTAGTAATGGCATTACATTAAGAGCAGTCTATCAAGCAAAGTAATGATGTTATGCTAGTTGGACTGTAATCTATAGTCTTTGATGACAGTATGTGTCTTTATTGTAATAAAAGCAGGATTGTTTTTGTTTGGTATAAATTCTTTCTCCTAGCACAAAAAGTGGTATCCTCAGCGGCAGATTGCAGGTGTGCACAAAGAAGAACGTGCATACACACCAGGGTCCCAAAGACATTGAAGGAGCCAGCTAACTGCTGTGGCCCCAATGTCAGTTTCAGCTTGGGGATGTCCAAATTTGCTCCAGTGCACTGCGGGTAAGATCAAGATAGCAATGCCCCAGTAGTTTTCCCTCTTATTGCACAATGTTTCATTCCTCAGACTGTTGAGTAAGAACCGTTGGGAGGTGTAACACTCCTCTAGAAATTGTAAGGTACCACCTTCACTGAAGTCACATGTATGATGGTTTATAGAGATGTTGCTAGCTGAGCTGAAAAATTGCTAGCTCTTACCTCTTAGTAGTGTGCAGATTCAACTGCATAAAGCACTCCTCCTCTGAAAACTGTTATCCAAAATGTTCTCAAATTCAAATGAGTACTGAAAAAAGACCCCTTCCAGGATCAGTCACCCAAAAAAAAAAATATGGATAGAATTTCCTACACAGGAAGATCAGTGAGGTTGTTTCTTTGACTCAGCCATGCATCAAGATACTGATTTCTGTTCCCATTTACATACATGGAGCTCTGGTGCTGCTCTTTTTACTCCTACTGAGTTGGATTTCATCGAAGCTAGTTTGAAAAGCAGAATGGAAGATAAAGGAAAACCAGAAGGTCAGTAATATAACACAATGGGGCTTTAATGTGATGTGATATAAGTGCTTCCAGAATGAAACTGTGCAAATTATTAATGATCTATTCCATATCCCAAGGGCAGCCAGAAAGTCTGAGTTGATGATAAAAGGTACTGCGCTTTACAGGGTAAAGCTGAAATCTTTGCAGCAAAGCCCCGTTCTCAAGTTCTGAAACGTTTCCACTCCACCAGGAAGACCATGGTACAAAGATAATAGAATTTAAAGAGAGAAGCCATTAAAGGAAACTGCTCCTGATAGACTATGAGGCATAACACAAAAAAGAGAGGTGCTAGGCTACATTTCAGACTGATGCAGTGGGCTTTCACCAGCTCTGGAGTCAGCCCCAACAAGAATCTACATCTTGCATTTTTGTCTCCCAAATTGTTCTGGGGTCTAGGGGTATTTGGGCTGCCTTAATGCGAGCCACAGTTTCCACAGCAGGCTCCATGGCTACTTCTGTAGAACCTCCTGCTTTAACAGTCCCCCATCCCCAAGGAGCCCCTAGACCAGAGATATTCCCAGACCCAAAGATGCTCCCCAGCCCAGAGAAGCCCCACATATGAGAAGAGCCCCAGACATGGACTGATTCCCACTATGCAGCAGAGGAAGAATTATTCCCACCATGCTTTCCTGGGGGCAGGTTGAGATTCGGGCCTGATAAATGGGTGATGGCCAGGAGGTGGTAGACCACAGCTCTCGAGTCCTTGCACAGTCTAACACAGGGCTCGCGGCCATAGCTGAAGGTGTACAGCTGTGGACACATCACCTCGTGGGTGGGCAATCACTGGGAGCTGATGTTGCTTGACATTCCTCTCAAGGAGTTGGAGGTTAAGCTAGACTAGGCAGTATGCAGTCAATAAACCATCACGCTCAGGTGTCAACAGATTCCCAATATAAAACAGATTCAGTTTGATCCTTCCCCTCCAGGTGCTCTGCATCTCACAGATTGCCCCTCCCTTCCTCCCAGTTACCATTTCCCCACTAATTACCTTCCTGACTAAGCCTTAAAAAGGCTTCTCATTGCTTTTTTTTTTTTTTTTTCTCAGAATGTTTTTTCCTGTTCGGTTAATCTTTATTATGGGATAGACATCATAATTTTTTCTGAATTGCTTGAAATATATTGTTTTTTTCTCTGGGACAAAGTTACCTCATCCTTATGTAGTTCCTGATTTAGAAAAATCTTATTTATTCTCTTTTCCTACTAGGTCTGCAGCAAAGTTTGTTCATAATGTCAGAAAATCTCTGAACGAGAAGGAATAGATTTTTCCCTCTTCTACGCTTCTCTATACTCTAACTTCTCTAAAATTGCTAGAATTCAGCAAGATAAACAAAGCAAGTATTCTATAGCTACAAAGCTACATAATGAATTTAAGCTTAGCTTGCTAGCTCAGAGGAATGGATCAGTGGACATGGAAGAATAGGAGGCTTCTTGATTTCAAATCATTTTATACCATTTCTTAGACAATAGGAAGGATATGAGGTCATCTGTTATTCATTAAGTTCTTGCCACTTAGGAAAAAAATTATTATTTTCTGGCATAAGTCCTCTAATCACTGTAATTATTTTGATTTCAACTATTTATTAGTGATCCACTTACAGCCCTATTTTGTGTGACATGTATACAACACCTAGCAGCTTTCTTTTGTCATAAGACTTAATGGAAAAAAAATTCTCTTTGGTATCCTTGTAGTTGCAACTGAAACAGTTTGTTTACTTCTTAGTGGCTTTAATGAAGGTAGCTCACAGGTGTATCAGTTCCATAACTTGTTTGCAAGTATTATATTTAGGTTTAATGCCTTCTAAGATGGGGGAATCATTGCATCACCTTGGCAGGGGTGTGAGCATTATCTGCATCACTGACTGTAATTATCAACTAAATGGATGAACTGGCACCGTGAAGGAATGGGGCCTTACGAATTATTCTTCAGCACAGGCCAGAAAAAGACCCTGATAGAGGTGTGTCCTCCTATCAAAATAGACAAATAGGAGTGAAGTGGCACATGATATCTCCTACAGGCTGTGAGCCCTCTAAGTGTTTTTTACCCTAATATGAATAAAAATTCACTTTAGCTTGTCTTGTCCACAAAAAGTATAAAAGCATGGACAATTCAAGAGTCTCCTAAAAACTTCTGCTGATTTACTTTTCTTGGTGACCTAGGTGCATTTGATTAGACCTGATAGTTTTATACCTATGGTGTCTCTGTAGTGATAGTTTTAAACTAGGACTCTCTTTTCTGCCAGTACTCTGTGATGTAAGCAAGGAAGAGAGATGTTGCAGTGAAATCTTACTTTTCACAGGAGGCTCTCTACAGTAACTAGTAGAGAGTGGGATGGATAGATTTTATATTTAAGGATAGAATTTTAACAGTTACCTCTGTTTATTCAGTAGAGTTTAGCTCTATAACTACACCCTGAATTTTGGAAGAGGTAACAAATAAAATCCTAGACATCCCCTAAACGGGCAAGTAGGAAGGAAGAAAAGGGATCATGAGCCAATAGGATTGGAGGCAGGAGAAGGAAGCATGAACAAGGATCTAACCTGCCATCTCGACACCGTTGCCACCATGTGTGCACTGGGAATCTGTTGACACCTGAGTGCGATGGTTTCTTGATTGGTCTAGGGGCTCCTTGGGGATGGGGGACTGTTAAAGCAGGAGGTTCTACAGAAGTAGCCATGGAGCCTGCTGTGGAAACTGTGGCTCGCATTAAGGCAGCCCAAATACCCCTAGACCCCAGAACAATTTGGGAGACAAAAATGCAAGATGTAGATTCTTGTTGGGGCTGACTCCAGAGCTGGTGAAAGCCCACCGCATCAGCGGGAACCACCCTTGCTCAGTACCTCTGAAATCCAACTCCACACCTCTCTCTTCTATGTTATGCTTTATCTTTAATTAATAGCCACTTTCATTAATCACTTCACAATTATAGAGCTCTCTTTTCCTTGGGCCAGTGCAAAACAAATAACCTGAAAGGGCTGAAACTGGGACATTGACAGTAAAACTGCAGCAGAAGAGAAGAACCAGAGCCGGTGGAAAGGAATGTTTTTATAGGCAATGCCTGCTGTAACCTCTCCTGAACCTGTGGAAGTGCCTGCCTTCTCTTGTGTACTGCTTCATTCTGCAGGTCTGTATCCCACTTCTCTTTTATATGAAAATCCTTCTGCATCATTGAATTCTGTTCAAGTTATCTTTCTCCCCTAAATCATTTTTGTCCTATACTTTTCACTAGCTTATTAGGCTTCCATGGTGTGCTAAATAGCCTGTGAGCCCCAATCATCCCTTTTTAATGATAATATGATAATAATTGCCTAGGTAATACAGGTGTTGTGAAAACGGGTGGTGGAATAAAGCATTCAAAATTTAAGCATGCAAAGCCATTCAGGATTGCTTCTCCATGGAGCGCAGAGGTTTCTGAAGCTGCCTACTCAATAGTTTGTGCTGATGTATGAACAGATAGCATCAATTTGCAAACAGAATTCCTTCAGAATAGACAACCCTCAGATAAATCATTTTCCATCACTGCAACTATTGCATTTCATGTCAAATGGGGGATGAGATCTAAAAATGCCGGATGTACAAGTAAGACCTTTTCAGAGCAGGTCAGCTTGCTTAATATTCTCTTTCCCCGAGTGATAGTGAAAAGTATAGATAAAAAAGATTGAGAGATGTGACATGGTCAGCTGAAGCAAATTTTACTTAAGAGCTTTTCTGGAGATTAGATTAAAAAAAAGAATGTATAGAATGCTAACACAACTAAGCGGTTACTTAAGCAGTCTCCTGTGTTGTAAGAAGATAAAGAAATTTTTAATTAATTTAATGATCGTTACAGGCAAGAAACTCATGAGCGTCAAGCAAAACTTTAATATGCCTGAAGAAGTAAGTGCAATGTGAAAACAATTAGATAATTTGATTGCAATCTGTATGTGGCCCAGTAGTTAGGAGACAGGGCAACCATAGATCTTCAGGAAGTGGAATTCCAGGCCAGTGGCAAGAACCCTGAAACGTATTACAGGGCGCAACATTTTCCACTCCTAAAAAATCTTGCTATCAACTAAAGTGGCCCAATTCTCTCTTAAAGACTAAAGCCTAAGTGCTTTGGGCTGTCCCCCAGCTGCATGGTAGTGTGTTTCACAATCTAAGGGGTTTGTAGGTGAAAAGGTGAAAAAGAAGACGTTAGCATAACATATTGATGCGGCATAGCTTTAATGGCAGGAGAAGTACAGCGTACGTTTGACAGAGACCATCATGCAGAGCACAGAGAACACTTCCCAGGGCTTTGGGAAGGGCTGCAGCTCCACGCACGCCGGCAAGCAGGTCGGCTGGACATCACCGGGCTGCAGCTTCTCCTCTGCAGTGAGCGCAGCCCAGGGCTGCCACAGCAGAGGACGCAGCCTCTTCAGAAGCCACCGGCGCTGCA